AGTGCAAACCGGAGATAATAGTAATAATAATAATTTTTTTAAAAAAATCGTTGCATAATGAATAATTTATGCAAAGTGAGTAATAAAAGAAATATGGCCCGTGTGCTGAACACTTGATGAGGTAGAGCTCTCTCAGCGATGCCGAAGTCCCCGAGGCAACCAAACATGTCGGTATGGCGATTCGACCAACAAGGTGATCACGCGAGCCGATTGGGACAACAACTCGGTTTGCCGAAGTGACCACGTGACGCAGTCGAAGTCGATCACCTACACACATAAAATAGTGCGGGAAAAAAGGATAATTGCTTTTCGCAAAAATAATTTATTGAAAGAGATGTGGCCTGGCGCCGAAGTCATGTTGATGCAGGGCATCAGCGTGATGCGATGAAGGCGTGGCCAAGCCTGAATTCGCATGCCGGTCTAAGTTCCGGATGCGGTATTCGCCGGACTGTATACGGAAACTGACCGAACCATCACGCGACCGTTGTTAATGTGTCCACCATTTGATAGACCTGTGTACAGATGATGAAACAAACCAGTGTAATAAGTCCTTGGGAAAAATAACCCAAGCAAGAAAAAATACTAGGATTAATAGCACCTGATTTATCTGTTGTAGCAATATGAAAAAAGGTTACTCCCAAAATTGGGACTCGATCCGCACACTCATTACTTGATGGGCGATAAAGCAACGGCATGACGATGCTGGCAAAGGTGGGCTCGCCGAGGCAAAGCCTCCGGTCCAGCTAACGTGACGAAACTGGTCGGCTGGTGACGCCGAAGTCACCAGAGTATGTTGATGAAGAAATAGCAAAGTCCCCAGTCTAGCCGAAATGATGGAGCAGGTCAGTAAGGAGACGTTGCAGCGGCCATGTCAGCCGAGGTGTTGAAGCAGTTCGGCATGATGGACATCGGCTTGAAAAAGCAACAGTGCGGCCATGCCGAAACTGGTCATAACTTGTGACGCGGTCAATGCCGGATTGATGAAGTGACCGAGCGGCGATGCCGGTGCGCCTGACCCGTGCAATCCATGGGGCGATGGTGTTGGTGATGATTTATCCTTCGCGATGCTGAACTCTTGTTCGGCTTGCCGAGCTGATGATCCGATAAGGTTAGGCTCGGCTCGATGAAGCGGTGATCTATCTAGCATAGGTCGGCAGACATGGAGCAATGTTACCGGACTGGTGTGACACTAGCGTGATGGTGAAGAGTGCCTCAAAGAAGGCTTAAACTTTTATGGGCACGTGTTAAAAACAATGCACAATACCGTAGAAGAAAATTTCTTTAAAAAGGTTGTTCAATATCACGTTCATAAAGAAACATGAATTCTGGTCGGATCCGTATTCGCGCAGGAAACAGATCTGAAAATTGGTCCACTCATCGGAAGGTTCCCGGAGTTTGAACCGTCGGATCGAGCTAAAATTTGGAGGGGTGGTAGATATGGGAATTCCAGCCGATCAACTGTTGGATCTTCCAAAGTACGTCTGAGCTAGGTGTTGGAGACCACGCCCTAAACTCGTCCAGATTCCCGTCTAGATTTGACAGGGTTCTGGTATATCGTAGATTGCCCGAGATTCCTCCATCGAAACTCGATGAAATTTTGCATGGTTTTTGTAGACTAAATTCCGCACAATTCCACCAAAGGAATCGTTAAAGCGATGCTTGAGGAGGTGGTGGCAGAGGATACAAGTTCGCTGTTCGAAAAAATAGCACGGTCGCCCGAGGGCAATGTTGGCGTTGAGCCCCCGAGCTCCATGGATGATTCCTCCATGATCTTGATAGAGATCGGAGTTGATATTGATGAAGGCCCCCGTCCGAACATGACGATCGGAGATGGAGCGCGGTCCTCGGTCGAGCCAAGGTGACCAGTCGAGTCGGCGACGAAGATGCCGGCATCGCCGTTGATCTGCGGGTGAGCCATTGATCCTTTGACGATCACACAACGGAACTCTCAATGAAAGCAGCATTGTCGGTGTCAAAACCGGCGGATCTCGGGTAGGGGGTCCCGGACTATGCGTCTAAGGATCAATGGTAACAGGAGACAGGGGACACGATGTTTATCCAGGTTCGGGCCCTCTTGATGGAGGTAATACCCTACGTCCTGCTTGATTGATATTGATGAATATGAGTATTACAAGAGTTGATCTACCACGAGATTGTAGAGGCTAAACCCTAGAAGCTAGCCTATGATTATGATTGTTGATGATCTATCGACTAGCCTGACCTCGGTTTATATAATGCACCAGATGCCTAGGATAACAAGAGTCCTAGCCGAATACACCGGTGGGGAGGAGTCATTGTCTTGATCACCAAGTCTTGTGGTATCTTCCTTGTACGCGGCAGCTGTCCGAACTGACCCATGAGTATACAGCCATGGGGGTCCTCGGCCCAATCTAACAGATCGGGAGATGACGTGGTGAGTACCCCCCAGTCCAGGACACCGTCAACGAGGGTGGCGGCCGGCTCCTTGATTGAGCCATCGAGGTAGGCCATCATCCCTGCCGCTTTGATATGCGGCAGGACCTGCGCCTTCCATACCAGGAAGTTCTCCTTGGTGAGCTTTTCAGTGATGGTGTGGCCGAGCGATGCGAGGGAAGTGGAGGCTATGGTGACAGAGGAGGAGGAGGATGACATAACTAGATGCATTGGAAGAGAGAGGATCTATATACCATGTAGAAAATGAGGTTAAAGCGTATGCAATCAGCAAGGACGCGTGCGTGTTAATATAGGCACAATGCCGCGAGATATACAAAGTTGTTGGGCTATGGATTGATCTTCAAGACACAATCTAAGATAAGATGCAATCCCAACAGCCCAACTATATATAGTTACAACAACTATATACCGTTTATAGATATACCGTATGTACATTGTTTAACAATTACCCTACGTACGTAGCCAATGGATCCTAGCTGAGACACATATCAGACCATATATCAGCTACAAACCTAATTGCTATACACAGAACAACGAGTAACATTCTTGCGTCCTCTAACCTAATGGCTAACAGCCGCGCCGCCCAGTGCACTTCCCATACCACGTCGCCCACCTCGCCACAGTACCTGTGCACGTCACCCACCTTGCCATTGCACCCATGCACATCGTCTCCCGTAGTAGTTCGCCGGTCCGCTCGGTCCGGCCCGGGCTTTGCCGCCACCGGTCCGGTCCTTGGAAACAGGACCGCTTGGCTAGTCGGTCCGGTCCGGTCCGGACCGCTGGCGGCCGGTCAAAGTGGTGGCCCGGTCAGGGACCGGACCGGTCCGGACCGCGTCCACTCTAACATGAGAGAGAGTTTCATCTCCACCACCTTGCATATATATATATATATATATATATATATATATATAGGCACGCTAATCTAAGCCTGAGCGTATAGTGTTTATTCTGCGCGCTGCCCGCTCGTACGAGTGCGCTCCTACTCTAAGTAACCGACCAGCCACCGGGTGCTTGCGCCAGTTTCTCCGGATGCTAGTAACGTTGGATCTATTTGTAGTAATCTATACATGATGCGTTACTAGCATTAGGTCTCTCCCTTTCATGCAGAAATCAATGGTAATATTATGTCCAGTTATAGTAATTCATTACTAGCATCAGGTCTCTCCCCTAAAAATCAATGGTAATATTAGGTCCAGTTATAGTAATTCAATACTAGCATTATGTCTCTCCCTTCCATGTAAAAATCGATGGTAATATTTGGTCCAGTTATAGTAATTCATTACTAGCATTAGGTCTCCACCTCCATGTAAAAATCAATGGTAATATTAGGTCTAGTTATAGTAATTCAAACATGATTCATTACTATCATGGAGTTCACCTAACTATTGCTAGTGGAGGCAAATCTGGTTTTCTCTTTTTTTTTGGTCAGTGAGTGTTTGATTGATGCACACAACCATTACGATAGATTTGCAGTGCCTTTACGATTCTGGAAAGGGAGGCTGGATTAGCAGGCAGGTCTAACCAACGCGCAAGACTCCATTACTATGACTGCACCAACT